CTTAACGTTTCCGTAATTTAAATTTCCCTAGCTGTAATACTTCTTTCTGCAATTTACTTTCAAATTACATGTATTGTGTCTTCTCAGAATATTGCAAATTTGCAAAATTATGTATTTTCTTTAAAATGAATTTCACTTGATATTGTTATTTTTATCTTATTGTTATTACTTTCTCATTTGTTATTAGTATTAGTTATGAAAATTAAATTGTGTATTGGTTTTTAAAATGGAGATCATGGGGGGTACTCGTGGCTAGTTAACCTAACCTTCAGTTTTATATTGTCAATTTTATTATTGTTACTTTGTTATTTCTTACAGTACTACTTATGAAAGTTGAAAAGTGAAATTATAAATTAGTATAAATAATTATTTTTCAAAATTGTAGAGATCATGGATGAGTACTCGTATTCACTTAATGTTTCCCTAATTTAAATAGCAGTAACTTTCGATAATTTACTTTTAAATTACATATATTGTGTCATCACAGAATAATGCAAATTTGCAAAATTATGTAATTTTCTTTCAAACAAATTGTATTTAGTATTTCCAATTTTATTAATATTGTCAATTTGATTTTTGTTACTCTTTTACTTCTTATTGCACTAATTATTAAGATCATAAAATGAAATTATAAATTACTATAAATAATTATTTTTGAAAATCATAAAGATCATGGATGGGTACTCGTGTTAGTATAGAACAGGTTCAAACTGAATCTCCAAAAATAAATGAATACTGCTACTAAGAATTTCAGTGAGCTGTTACCTAAATATATAGTGCGTTCAGTGAATATCAACTCGATCTCGGTAATAAATTATCTTAAGCCTTAACCCTGAACGACGACCTTACATTCATAATTACGTTTATTCTTTCTTCAAATAAACCAAATGCTGCAATGCCGTTAATCAGACGTTACACTTTCTTCCTTTTTCAATAAGATTATAAACATTGTATCAGTGTAGTTGCACATTTTATGATATTTGTTATACCTTTCAAATTTCAACAAAATTCATTTTCTGTTTTTATCTATTTGTTTCTGTTCAGGTTTGATCGTATATTTATTTGTTTTTTGGTTTGGTTCTATATTTATTTATTTGTTTTCTGGTTTCGTATACTTTCCTTGTTTTTTGGTTTTGTCGAATATTTACTTGTTTTCTGCTTTAGTATACTGATTTATTTACATATTTTCTGGTTTATTTATTTATTGTCCATAACATCAATTTTTAACAAGTTTCGTTATGGCGTCAAAATAAATGCAAATAATCATTCAGCACAATGCGAAAACATACAAAAAATTTTATTCGTAAAGTATTGTAAAAACACGAGATGACATTGTAATAATCACATACATTTTCACATACAAATATATGTCATTTTCATATATATTGTCACATAAAGACAAATATTTGTAATTTTCACATATATTTTCACATAGAGACACATATATGTAATTTTTACATATATTTTATATTTCAACTTTGACATATACTTAATATTATAATTTTTACATACATTTAATATTATAATTTTAAGATACATTTTCACATTTAAACAAATATATGTAATTTTCACAGAGGGACACATATATATATAATTTTTACATATGCTTTATATTTTAACTTTGACACGTACTTAATATTATAATTTTCACATACATTTAATATTGTAAATTTTGCATACATTTTATATTATAATTTTTACATATACATCCTATTTACACATATCACCTATTGCAATTTTTGCATTATAATGTAGTAAACTTGAAATGACATGAAAAAACTATTATAAAATTGCAATATATTTTCTCTCCACGCACCAATAAAGTAACTTTATATCATCATATCCACTGACAAAAATAACTTTATTTATATTTTACGTAAATTGCATGGTTTCATAATATTGGTACAGAATGTGGTGATTAAAAATGTCAGACATATTTAACACATTTATATGCTACATTAAAAAAAAAAACAAAAACAATATATGATGACAGCAAAATAAAATAATTCAATTACTCTTTAATTAAGGAAATTATTACTGCATCTGATATAACGATTTAAACAGCGTATACCAATAATTCCGAAATTACGATTTTATATCAATTTGCCAATCAGAGTATGAAACTTTTCATAAACCCAAGACCCGTTATAATTTTATCAACTTCAGTGATCTGAAAGAATTAATCATTCAAATGTAAAATGTTATGAAAGAAATACGTATTAAAAAATAATATCAGCATTCTCATAAATTTTCACTTGAAGTGTGACAGTAATTAATACACCAAAATCACCGTACATTCACTCCTGAAAGAATAAATCAATCGCTTGAATTAATAAGCATTTCAGATACATATTTAAAAAATGATATTCGACATATAATTCTCGTAAATTCTCACTAGAATCGAGTGTGCCATACACCAAAATCACCGTACATTTACTCCTGAAAGAATAAATCAAACGCTTGAATTAATAAACCAGTTCAGATACATCTTTAAAAAATGTTATTCAACAATTCTCATAAATTTTCATTGGAATTAAATCCGAATAATTAATGCAGCGTCAAAATCATGTTACATTTCCTAACCACGTTTTATCTTGTAGCATGCGTTCGTAACATTTTATAAATAAAAATGTTACTCGCACTTCGCATTTGTACGACTTCAAGTTCTCTTCGTGAAAAAAAAAGATTAATTAAAGAAAAGATGGACGTATAATCGGGAAATGTGATAAAATGAATACAAAATAAGAATATGAATAGCGAAAAATGCGAGAGTTAACGTTGCGTTGCACTCGTTTCCCGATAATGCTCGACCTATAACTGCCCTTACATCGTCACGTTGATACACGCAATTACCTAATCACAGATCGTAAAATGCAGAACAACGTAACGTAATTGTGTGCGAAGAATTCTTGGCATTGAATCAAGAGAAGTCAGGGAAAACGGGATATCCCACTTTGATCGTCTTAGGTTAATCTCGTCGGTTAGTTACCGCAAACGTCTCTTTCATCCAAACAGTTCTCGATTATTATCCTGACATGTTTATACATCGACATCAATTGCCGACATATTATTATCATGTGTTGCTCTTATCTTTGTTTAAACACACGCTTACATTGGTATTTCCCCGCTAAATGTATTTGAATCAGACATTGATTTAAGAGGACGTTTGTAAGAACTTGTAACAATTTTTTATCATTTTTCATGATCTTAAGATTCATTTGGAATTTTTTTGTTTCGAGTTTTAGATACAGATGTTTACAAGATTTTAAATTGCTTAAATTGACGAATTCACGAATTTACGAATTTACGAATTTACGAATTTACGAATTTACGAATTTACGAATTTACGAATTTACGAATTTACAAATTTACAAATTTACAAATTTACAACTTTAAAAATTTACAACTTCACAAATTTACAACTTCACAAATTTACAACTTCACAAATTTACAACTTCACAAATTTACAAACTTACAAACTTACAAACTTACAAATTAACAAACTTACAAATTTACAAACTTACAAACTTACAAACTTACAAACTTACAAACTTACAAATTTACGACTTTACAAACTTTTAGACTTGTAAATCTTTTAATTTTCAGACCTTTAAATTTGCAGGTATTGAAACTTCTAGATCTGCAAAATTCAGGATTTTCACATTTTGAAAACTTTTCAAATTCAAATAATTCTTAAATTTGCAAAATTAAAGATTTCCAAATTGTTAAATTTTTCTGTAAAAGCATTACAAATTTTCTGTTTTCCAAGGGCCACGAATGTATAAATTTCAAAAAATTTTAATTTTCACTCTCCTATAACCTTAAATTCGTAATTTCCTAAACTTTCGAATACTCCAATCCCCAAATTCTCAAATTTCCCATATTTCCATGTTCTCAAATCTTCAAATGATTAAATTCCTAGATTTCTACATTCTCAAATTTACAAACTCACAAATTCTCGAATATCTAAATACCCGCATTCATACATTTTCAAAATTTTAAATTCCCAAAATCCCAAAGTTCTAAAATCCTAAATTTTCAAAGAAGTCTCGTAAAATTTTAAAATTACCAAAGTTTTCAGATTGCCAGACCTCTAAATGCTCAAATCCCTAAGACTCTAAGTTACCAATTTCCCTAACCTCCAAATCGTCATATGCTAAAATTACCGAATCCCTAAATTTCCCAATCTTGAAATTTTCAAACGTCAAAATCGCATCTTCCAAAATTATCAAATCTCTAAGTCTTCAAATTCCCAAATTCCCAATCTTCCAAATCCTCAGATTCTTAAATTTACAAACCTCCAACCCTCTAAATGCTCAAATCCCTAAATTTAAAAACAAATTATCATATCTCTAAATTCCCCCATCCCCAAAATTGCAAACCTCAAAATCGCCATATTTCTAAATTACCAAACCTCTAAATCTTCAAATTCCCAAATTCTCAATCATCCAAATGCTGAAATTCCTAATTTAACAAGTCTCCAATCCTCCAAATACTCAAATCCCTAAATTCCTAAAGAACCAATTTTCCCAATTTCCAAATCGTCATATGCTGAAATTACCAAATCCCTAAATTTCCAAATCCCCAAAATTGCAAACCTTAAAATCGCCATATTTCAAAATCACCAATCCCTAAATCTTCAAATTCCCAATTTTCCAAATGCCCATATTCCTAAATTCACAAATCCCCAAACCCCCAAATCCCCTAAATTTCCACATAACCAATCTTTCACATCTCAAAACCGCTCCAAACTTACAAAGACCCTAAATTTTCAGATTTTCAATTCTAAAAACCTTGAAATTATACAATTGGTTAGTCCATCACTGCCCTAACTCCAAAAATGCAAACTATAGAACTAAGGAACTGCAATTAGCGACATGAACAAATTTCATCGCTCGTATACGACGTAACAATTTACCGTTGAGAATTTACCGCTCGTGAAATATTTTCAATTATCTTGGATGAAGGAAGAAAATTAACGTATCGGTGTTTCATTACAGGGGGTCCACGGCGTAACTTTCCTCAGGATAATGCGAAGTCTGGAGAGGTTATCAGGTAGCGATCAAGACTGCGATCAGGAGATGTATATCGACCTGGACGACGCTTCCGTTGACTCGCTTACCGGGAAACGTAGCCGGCACCATGTCGTTAGCGCGGAGGTAATCGTCCACTTCTATTTTCTCCATAATCACGTCAGTAATTCACCAAGTCCCTCAAATTTGTACGGTTATTATGCTATTTAAGACTATTTACGTAACTACCTAAATTCTTAATGCTATTTAAAACTAGTCATCTGACCACGTAAAATATCTAACGCAGTTTAAAAGTATTTGCCTAACTATCTGAACACCTGAAGCTATTTAAAACTATTTAACGATATTTTACTCTTTGCTCTCGAAGGTTTTTAATTGTTGCATCTTTGGGTTGGAGGGTTTGATGAAATTTTTTGAAATTATTATTTGTCTTTTGGCGGTAGGTTTATCCCTAAGTCTGAATCACATCCTTAGATTTACCCCTAAGTCTGTACGTCACATCCATAAGTTTGCCCCTAAGTTTATATGTCACATCCCTAGGTTTACCCATATGTTTATACTTCATATGTTTATGTTTACTCCTAAGTGTAAACGTCGCATACTTAAGTTTACCCCTATGTTTATACATCACATCCTTAAGTTTTCCCCTAAGTTTATATGTCACATCCCTAGCTTTATCCCTAAGTTTATACATCACATCCTTAGGTTCACCCGTATGTTTGTACTTCATGTGTTTAGGTTTACCCCAAAGTGTAAATGTCGCATATCTAAATTTACCCCTAAGTCGGTACATCACATCATTAAGTTTGACTCTAAATTTATATGTCACATTCCTAGGTTTATGTCTAAGTTTATACATTACATCCTTAGGTTTACCCGTATGTTTATACTTCATATGCTTAGATTCACCCCTAAGTGTAAACGTCGCATACCTAAGTTTACCCCTAAGTCTGTACATCACATTCTTAAGTTTACCTCTAACAATAAGTTAATATATCACATCCCTAGGATTATCTCTAAGTTTGTACGTACATGCTTAAGTTTATTCTTAAGTTTATACGTTATACCCTTAGATTCATCCCTACGTTTACTCCTAAGTCTAAATATGTATACTTGATTACACCACCTAAATGTATAGGTCACCTAGACAATAATTTTAAACATCCTATGGATCTACTTCAGAATTACGTATTTCAACAGTGTGACTCACTTTTGAGTGCAAAGAATTAAAGAAGTCATTTCAAGCTATCAAGTTTAAACGATTTATGAAGTTGAGAATTATTGTCAGAAATTTTGTACACGTATTTGATCATGTTTCAAGATAACAGTCAAATTATCAAACAATTATGTTTGTTATTGTCGGAATTGTAATAGTTTTTCAACAACGTGTCACTTTTAATTGCTGGCATGGTTAAGGTTTCGAAACAACACAATAACAAAATGGCTGCCGTGTGAACTGAACAAAGTACTGTCAAGTTTTTTAATAATATAGCAGTCGCTTAAAGATGATATTAATATAATTAATAATCTTTTTTGGTGATAAAGTGGAAACTGTTGTCGATGTTGGTATACTTCACAAGATAGAGAAATTTGTGGGATTTTATTAAATTTTTATTAGATTAATAACTTACTGTGTAAAATATGAGATTAATTCGTTATTGAAATATCGTGGCAATAACCGAAAAAACAGAATTTGAACACAAAGAGCACTTCAGTTTATTTTTTCACTTTTTAAATTATATATTTTTATTTAAATAAGTAGTCCATTCCGCGACAAATTTATGTTAATATATGCCTAGCATATTTTAAAGTATTGCACGGGTCTGAGATGTAAAAGATTTAATATGTCACATCGTAAAATTGTAAATATACATACTACTAAATATTTTATGAATTCTTACATTCATTTCTAGCTGGCAAGCCTTTTCTTCCAAAATTCATAAATAAAAATTCACTGCCTTAATATCTAGTGATAATATCAACCATTTTCGCGGTTATGTTCCTCGATCGGTATATAATTTATTAATTAAAATGTAGTACATAGTTGCATCCTATGATTATAGTAACTAGATGATATAATATTCTTCCCTTATACTTACTTAATATTTCATGTAATACAATTTAATATAATATAATACTAAATATATAACTATTTAATATAACATTTTTTCCTCTATAAAGATAAGTTTTAGGTAAAGACTTAAAAGAAAGCAACTTCCATTTATTATTTCGCATCGATTCATTAAATAACCGACAATTATATTTTTAATATCATAAACATTATCAGATGATCAGTTAACGAAAAGATAAAAATACTCCAGTAATTAAATAACGCGGATGATGCACGGTTGAAATTGAGCAGAAAATTAGATCGACTTCGGTTTTGTTAAATCTGAGAATCTGATCAAGTACTTGAGTATGCCCAGTATTGTATATAATCGTTCACGTGAGTTGTATTAATATCATAAATATCGCGGCAATCTTAAGCTTATCTCCTACAAGAAACATACTACACTAACGGTTATTAGAGTACGATCCGTTACGCAATTATACAAGTGTATCTTATACGCAATGAAAATGTGCAATTAACGAGGGACGATTAATTAATGCTGTACAGGAAATAAATTTGCTCGCACTTCCGAAATCATTAGATCAAAAATCAATACTAATTTTTCTGGATTTCTTATTAATTTATGATGTTAATGAGATACATCTAAAAATTAAAATTAAACGGTAAAATAAAATTTGTAGAATGTGACTTAATATGAATTTTCAAGACAGTACGAAAATAGCTTAATTAATACTACACGCTACATTGCCTATACTAGACAGGTTTAGGTTTACAAATATGTAATTGACGCTATAAAATAAATTTTCCGTTCCTATTATTATCATAGAATACCAGTATGTAGTTAACGGAATAAAATAAATTTTCCATTGCAATTATCACGTAATATCGTATTTTGTTAAATATCTCTGTAAATAAAAATAAATAATTCGTTTGCAATTTACTAATTAAATTCATGAAGATTAATAAATAATTCAATGGTAAAGTTTTATTAAACATAAGCTGAGTTCTTCAAACTTCACTAATAATTCACACAAAGTGTTTTGAAAACCAGCAGTTATAATTAAGGAAAAACACGGACCTATCAGAGCGCGAGGATTACACGTGCGCAGACGCGAGAGCGACAGCTTCGAGTTTAGCGGCGTGTAGTACTTCGATGCATGGTAATTCGGCGCGTGGTAATTCAACACGTAGTAACTCCATGCGTGGTAACTCGGCGCGTGGTAATTTAATGCGTGGTAATTCCACGCATAGTAATTCAACGAGAGGTAATTCAATGCGTGGTAATTCGGCGCGTGGTAATTCGACGCATGCTGATTTCACGC